AATTAACCCGAGAATTTTTAAATTATCTTACTTTTATTGGAATTTCGCAGACTATTTTGAAGCATCCGCCTTAGCAAACTTAATAATATCACAAATTCTAACACCTACAAGGAAAATTATCTTATTACAAAAATAACCTGAGCTATTCGGCTGTCGCTATATTATTATTGAGTATTATGTATATCAATTTGGGAATCCCCTAACGATATTATCACATTTGTAATCACAAATACTGCGCACCTATATGAGTGCATTAAGTAGTTGCAGTGTTTTTATTTGATGTTTCGATATTTTGCTGGCAGTTATGGATATATGTTCTTATTGGATTTTATTTTTGTCTCTCGGTATAAACATACTTCTTACTACAATTTAAAAAAGAATAATCAGCCAAATGCATATGACTTGACTTTATAGCTTCAGCTTAGCAACACGATAATTACAAATGGCATTTTTATTTTATAGACTTTCTAATACATTTTCTAATTCCCCAGGTTAACGGCGCATACGCAGACACGTGGCATCGTAGTTTGATGCTTGAGTCGTTGATGAGAGATGGACTCTCCCTTGTAAACGTCACAAGAAGGGAACTTGCTGACGGCCTGCGGGCCTTAGCCAGGCGACAACGTGATTCTAGGATTAACACAGCGGATTTAGAAACTATATTTACAAAGCGCCTTAGCGACAACTCTTATAGGATTGATTTGAAGGTATTTCAAGCTCCGCATCACTTAATTGGCAAAAAAACAAGTACCATCCTTGACCATTCTCAATACACAAGGTTATAGACTTGTTAAACATTTTTTTTATTGTGTATTTTTTTCAGATGCAAGAACTTATAGATGCACAGAAGCGTTTCGTGGATTCATGTCAGCAAGTACAGCAAGACGGTCCAAAGTCTGTGACGGACGTGCTGGAGAAACTAATCGATTCGTTAATTGGCGTGTACGTATATCATGAATTATTCTCCTCCAGACTCTACCCATCAAACTAGTGATTTATGTAAACTGCGATTACGACTGGGAAACGAAACACGATTGCATGTACTTGGTCACAAAAACAGTCAGTAACAATGAATTATTAAACAAGACTGCGACATTACTTATTAAGATTTTGTATAGAAGTGAGTGCAGTGTTTAAGTAACTTGTGTTGAAGTTAGTTTCGCATTTAACACCGAAGTTCAAAACTTTTTTGTTTACATTTTCTAATAATCCAATTTACTTATTTTCAGAACATCTTCTACATTCCATGAGCTAAAAAAGATACAAAATGACATAAATAAATATGACAGCAGAGTGGTTAAGATCCTGAATGCGACACGTATACCACAGGTATATTATCGAATGTCTATCCTAAGATCATAATGATCAAGATTTTCTCTGCTACTATTACATTATATTTATTTATTTTCCTTATTTCTTTGAATTCCAGACGGATGCTACTTGCAGACGTTTAGAAGGAGCTTTCCGTAATACATCTCACACGATTTTAAAAGAAAATGAGCTTCGACAACTGACTGAAAAGTTCGTATCACTAACCGATCGAGCAGATGCAGCATTGCAGCGATTGGAAGCCCACTTAAAAGATGATGAACCAACATCAGAGGTGACAGCGGCGGCTGATAGACTATTGGAAAAATTGGAAGGAATTAAGTAAGTGGTCTTTGTGACTTTTTTACTGTCATCAAAAGCAATAACAAGTTAACGAGCTGTCGGATGGTGAACGACTACCGTAGCTGAAGTCCTATTTCATTAAGACAACGTAACGTAGGAATGCATTCAATAATAATAACAGTAATATGCTGACTTCAAAATTCCCGAAGGTTTAGACCTTAGTTATTAAACTCCCCATAGATCATTGTTTAAATTCCATTAAACATTTTTAGACCTTAGTTATTAAACTCCCCATAGATCATTGTTTAAATTCCATTAAATATTTCAGTAATGAAGAATCAGAAGAGTTCGATTGGGAGGACGACGACACGGGTTACTTTGACGACGGTGGGGGAGGAGATATCATGGGAATTGATAAGGACATCCTGAGCGGTGGAGCGTCTGAGAGAATGGCGACCACAACCACGCGTCCGCCGCACCGAAGACATCTGCATAAACATCCCTACGATCGCGGCCCTAATATTAACTAACCAAAGTTGTCGTTTAAGTTTGTAATATAAATTCTATAACATATTAGTGTTTCATTTAAATAATAACTGCCTCGTTGGTAGAATGGCAGCGAGAAAAGAATCTCGGATTCGATTTCCAGATCTAGCAAATTATTATTGTGCTCAGTATTAAAATTTAAAGAATTGTGGGTGGTGTGGTAAAAGGTATATCTCTAATGTTGTATGAAAATGAGAGTATCTGGTGCAAAATGATTGCATATTAAATTCACTTCTAAATTCAAAACAGTTTTTACTATGAAAAGCTTAATAGTTAGCTAGCTAGCTTTATAAATACTCCCAATAATTTGTTTAAGCCTTACAAGAGATTGTTGTGCTTCCTTAACCTAATTATAAAAGGTCGATTCTAATTAATATGCCTTAAAATAATGCTCATTACAATTTTATATTACACCAGTATATTTAAGTAGAGATTGTCTTTGAATTGAGTACTTAGCAATAGAACAGCTGAACAAACAATTGAAATAATGGTGATTTGGTTGTGTAGAATTATGAAGTTAATCTAATAGGTATATCATCAAAACATGAACATACTAAAAAACTTTTTGCAAACCATCATACACTTCGGAGTAAACAAATGGAGCCACTAGCGTCTTTTTATTTCATCGAAACTTCTATTAGTCTCTCATTTTAAAGGTAACTAACATTTTAAACTCAGGAAATAATAAATACTGAAAGGCTACTCAATTTTAAGTTGACCTTAAATATCTTAATCTCTGTCTTTAAATAAACTGTCAAACACAGCGAGGACACCGATGACCGCAACCTATTATTCTTTATTTGTGTCTATAATGACGGTACTCAATGAGTTAAAAAGAATTTGTAGTGACAGAACTATATTTAAGCAGGACTTTAAATTTAGAGACATTTCAATGAGTATTTCAGCATAAATTGCCTTCTATATGACATTATGTTACCAAATAATAAAATTCGTGAAAATAAAATATTGTGTAAGTCTGAAATGGAGCTAAGTATGCATTGACCTGTTTTAGTGATTGGTTCCATTTTGTTGTAATTAATTAATTAATTTATTTATTTTGTGTTGACCAACAATTGTTTACACATTACAATACATTACTGATTAAATAGAGAAAGAGAGTCAATAGTCTAACTGTTAAAGAAATAAACCAGCAACAGCATAATCTAGAATCCAGACTATTCATAACATTTCAATTGGTTAGTAGTAACCATTGCTTTCACAAACATACAGATACCGTTTCTATCGAATGTTCAAGGCTGATTGATATATGTGACATATTTTGTGATATTGAGTTAAGTACATGTTCTAATTCAGTGAATTTTCCTTCATCGTGATATAGGTATTTAATATTATCATAAAAGAAATGTCTCTTAGATCAATAAGCCTTTCAACCATTGTTATTATATTACACATAGTTCCAGGATTGCCACCATTTAAAAACTGGCATTCCTTAAAAATTCATAACATAACATCACGCCTTTTATCCCCGAAGAGGTAGGCAGAGGTGCACATTACGGCACTTAATGCCACTGTACAATGTAACACCCACTTTTCACTATTTAT